CCACATTGATTTTATGGTATTTAAGTATCAAAGTCTTGGCTTCATCAGAAAAAAAAAAAAAAGGACCAAAAAAAAAAAAGACTACTTAAGACAAGTGTGAATGCTCATGACCCAGATTTTTTTATCTTTTTTTCCATAAAAACGCAGACAAAGATCCTTGCACTAGCACAGAATGCCAGAATTCCCTCAGCATCCCCTCTGCGTTTGAGGCATTCAAATGGCAGTGCCAATCCCAAAGCACAAAAAAGGCAAGAACACACACCAAGACAGCTTGGAAACAGATTATCTGTATTGTCAGAGTACAACTGGAGCATTAGGCACCTACACTGTTCCTTAAAGAAGTTCACTATTAAGTATTTTGAATTAATGTGAAACTAGTAATAGTACAACCACTACCTTCAACATAGAAGCCTTTCAAATTACATATCATTATAAGCTGTTATAAAATAAAAACATTACTTAATATTTAAATGGTGAAATGAAGTCATACAAGGAACAACTTTTTAAACTTCTGTAATTTCCATTCCTTTTTTATCATACTAGTAGAGCATAATTTTTTATTATTATTTTTTTTCATATTGTTAAAAGTTGCTTGTGGCCTGAAATAAATGGTCATTGATGACAACTACTTGATGGCTTAGTTTCTGTTCATAACATTTATAATTCTAGGAGAGTCCCCACTGGCTACATCTTCCAGTTTTGACTTTGTGACTGGTTCGTACCAATTTTCAGGGGGGCAGTTGGGTCAAGTTTTGTATGTCAGTCAGTTACCAGCAAGACTCAAACACAAACATAACTGTATGATTGTCAAAATGTAATATTATGAAAGAAATCAAGTTAAGAGAACTGGTTAAAAAAAAAAACTTTGCTACTCTTCTCCTTGACTTTTCTGTGCAAACTTCAAACATGCCTGAAATTTGCACAGATACATGACAGAAGCCTTCTCAAGGTGCAGCTCATACCCTTATGAATTGAAGGACCTCTTTCTCCCAAAATGTCAAATCACTCTGTAGCATTTACAGAAGTCAGGGAATTGCTACAAAAACTATTTCCTCACAAATGCAAACCACAAAAGAACTACCAGGATGAAGTGTTTAGGATGTTATAGAAATCAGTTTGTGTTACAATAAAGTGTTTTGTTCTTGAACAATCTTTTCAATATTCATTAATTTAACTGTTCTGACCACATCACTTTATGGCACCACTTGCTCTCCATGTCCAACAGCTTGCCAAGACTTATCTTTACAGTTTCCCCCTCCCTCAGTCAAGCCTTGCCACTCTCCCAATTTCTTTTTTCCACTACTTTTTTTCTGTTCTCTACCAACACATTTCGAAGCATAAGTTCAGACAGAACTTATTAGCTGAGGCAGCACATCGTTTCTAAATTTAGAATTTGGGAACTGGTGAAGTGTGACAAATATAAATACTTTAAACAAGTTTTGAAACAGTGCACTTTAAAATACAAAATAGCAAATACATAAATACACTTATATCATTGTAGCTTTCGAAGCATTAAGGTAATTTTTTAAAAGCTTCACTTCCTTACACTAAACTACTTAATATCCCCCTTAAACAGAAAGACTTACAAGTTAACAAAACATGATTTCTAGTCTCAGACTAGAATTTACTTAGGTAATTCTCACTGAAAACACAATGAAATACACAGGTTTCCTTAGGCAGAATTAGCATTAAAACCAGCTTCTTCAAAATCCACCCAGAATTTACTAAAAGCAGAATAGCAGAAGGAACAATTACAAGAGTCGATTTTTCAAATTTGTTCCAGTAACAAAGCAGGACAGATCAAGTGATAAAATCTGGTTGGCAGTTTGTTAAAGCTTGCATGTAGATTTGAAAATCTGAGAAATATTATATTTTATCCTTCTATCTTGACCAATTTCACAGCATTTCAGTTGCGCTACTTTGGTCCTGTGGAAGTCAGAAGTTTTACCAATCACGTTTTTCACCCAGCTTCTTCCACCTTGCCAAAAGTAAACAATTTGACAGCACTGTATGTTTTGCCCTAGGTATTGTAATGAGCATTTTATAAGCAAATAATAAAATTCAAAGCAAGATAATCGCCTCCTGGAAGCTTACCAAACTTTTTTCCCTCTCTGGTTGTGCCTGTCATCTTGATCTTGACAACTTCAAAGAAATCTTTTATTTCCCTTTCATATAGTCGTGATAAATAATCCATATAATTCTTAAAAAAAAAGAAGTGTAAAGTTTGTTAACAGATATACATACTGACTTTGTTCTACTATGGTTAAATAGATCTTCAAAATGAGCAAATCAGCAAGGGTACAAGTTCTACTAAATAACAAACTGGTTTAGACTATGTATGTATTTATATATTATGTAGCATTTACAAAAATATATTCACAATACTTAGGTAGATTATATTCATTTTTCTAGTGAGTTCATTGAGCATCAAACACAAACTGCTACTTCTCCAGAAGTAAAGATATGCAATATGGGACAAACAGGATTACTAGTGGAACATCAGAGAATTCAGGGGTTGAATGGAAAGAATCCAGCAGCATTTTCTGTAGCCTACTCATCTTCTTGAGTATATGACTTTATTACTATTCTCACAAAGAAAGGAGGGAGGCACAAATTCCATGTGCTTACTTATTACAAGATTCAATCAATCCCAAAATACTTTGTTTGAAGCAATGCCAAAAAGTAGTTAATCTAAAAAAGAGACTCAACAACTGAATTAGATTTGAAGATTGTCTGGTTTGTTTAGATTTTTAGTTCAAAGGTCATAGTAATATTTTATTTATGGACTAGGATCACCCAATAATTTTTTCCCCTATGTCCTTCAAAATTTTGTACCAAAATTTTGTTACTTAGCACACACAATGCATAAACACGTCTTAACTGTTTTTTTAGAAGACAACAAAAATATCAACTTTACACTGAAAGTAAAAGAACAACAATTTCAAAGCCATTTTAAGAGTAATTTAAATCTTTCACTGTTGAGTTTTTAAGAATGGCTGCTTTAATAAAAGAAGACTTGTTATGTAAGGACTAACTTTCCCTTTACTTCTATCTAAATATTTTCTACAATTCTGTAGTCATGTAGCTAAAAGTTACATGTATACAAAGCCAAAATATTTCTATTTAATCTACTCTGCAAGAAACCACTGAAGTTTTTCATAGTCTCAAGTGAAAAGAAAGTCTGCTAAAAATAAACATATAGGCAATAAGCATGCCAACATGAAAATAGCTTCATTAATTTTTCTTCATAGGTTGTTAAATGGCAAACTTGTTCTACATGAATATTAAGATTAGTATATTTTGATACTTCAGAAAAGAGACATAGAATCTTAGCGGAAAAAAAAAATTAGGGTACCACAGATATAAAAAAAATGAAGTTTCCTATTCCAAAGAGGAACAAAAAAAGAGAAGCAGTGAACTACATGTAATGAAAAGGAACATTAAAAGGACACGCACATATGCAAAGGAAATTCTTTTGACTCTCGAAAACAGTAATACTGTACAATTTCTATCATGATTTGAGCATTTTGCATACCTTAGTTAGCCCTTCATATTTTCCATAATCTGTGTTCTTGAGCCACTCCATCAGCTTAGCATACCGAAGTAAATCTCTGTGAAATGGATGGTGATTGGGTAATGTCAATTCAACAGAATGCTGGGCAAGAGTAGAGCTCTGATCGTGACCCTTGGTAAAAGAAAGTATTGAAATAAATCTGGAAGCAGATGTACTAGAATCTTAACTGAAAAACTTCAAACAAAGAAAGCATTCCATTCGGACAAACAGAAAAGCAACAAAATATCTTGCATAGAAACAAAGTCCAGAGACTCAGATTGAAAAGATGCTTAATATAATATAGACACCGAGACACTACAGTTGTGGCAATTAAGCTTGTTCATTATAAGGCTCTTGCTGTTTACCTTACTTTGCCTTCAGGGTGAGTATTTTTTGAAAAAGACTGCAAGGTACACCTCAGTAAAGACATAATGACAAATGTTCAACTGTTTCTGAGACATTCTAGGACTATTAAATTATTTCACTAAAGAAACAAGGAAAAAAAAAAAAATCCATAGCCACTTTTTTTTTAAAGATGTTGTTCCCACATACCATCAGACATTTCAAGTTCCTAGTCAATGGGTTGCCTAGGAGCTAGCAATGAGCTTTATATGCCTCTGAAAAGCTGCTCCAATTAAACCAACTGGAGTCTCTTTTGGCTAAGCCTTGGTTAAGTCTTAAAAACGTCTGTTCACAAATGTTCTCCCTACCTCCACACAAATGCAGACACACACACACACAGAGTTTCAGTAACCATTACTAGAGTTAAACAATTTACAACATGCAGCATAAATGAAACTATTTAACAGCAAGCTACAAACTTCATTCTCTGCATTTTCTCTGGCTTATCTCCTAAAAAACACACAGTGCCCTTTACGTGAAGGCCACAGCACATTGTGTGAACAACATATAAGTTAGCTTTTTTAAGCTTTCACTTGCTTGAACTCACAAGCTCACCGGGCAACTCAAGAAGCAAACAAGGTAACACCAGTCATGTAGCAAGAACATAGAACCATTAGCCCTGGGTCACTGGAAGGGAGGATGTGACTTAATTTCAAAATAGCTTTAATATTTTCTGTGAAGTCTTATTTACCAGGCTTGCAACAAATACAGCAACAGAACTTAACTAAGAGTTTGTGCCATGGCATTACAAAAAGATTGTCCTAACTGGTCTCCAATTCCTGCAGCATAACATGGGGGTGGTTTATGTAGGTCAGTCAGTGTAGGCCCTGATGCAGGGAACATTCCTAGACAGTTTCATCTTGGCTATGACAAGTTGGCAGAATATAAGCTACACAGTTTAAAAACTTAATGTTGGAACAGAAGCCAGTTTGGATCAGAGAGTGAAATCTAAAGCAACTTTGGCTCATCCTTCTCTATTGTATTAGGTACTAAGCAGTTCAAGACTTTGGTTAAAAAGCACTAGAAGCTTCCATAATACACAAACACACTTTTGTTTTTTAAAAAAGGAAGATATTACTCTTTTAGAAATAATAAGACCATTACTAAGCAATGCAATGTGAACATGCCAGGTTCTGAATAAAGCTGGAATTCCTTTCTGTATCCAACATGAGCATGCAGTTTAAGTCCTATTCTCTAAGCTGCATAAACTGAGACACAAATGGACCAAAGGAAGAAGTCCTAGACAACTTCATTAATTTATTCTCACAGACAACGGGGAAGGGTCACGCTGTTAATCTCCCTTCTAAAAGCAATCTTGAAGTCTAACTCCAACAAAAAGCTAACTTTGTGAAAGGTAATTATTGCTACATATACTTCAGAATTGGAATACAGCCAGCATTAGCCACATTGATTTGATTTCTGAGGTCAAACTCAATATCATGCATCCTTCCATGCATGCATATACCAAATATTTTCAACAGGTCTTTGATATGTTTTTACATAAACTAGATATCTAAAACTGTTTCTGGTTCTCTCTCCTATCCCCAGGTGTGCAACATTCCTACAACATGCATTTTAATGTTCAAATTCATTATAGTTTAAAACAATTTACTTGGGGGATTTATCAGCTTTCTTCCACTGAGTCAGTCCAAAGGCTAGCTCATAGTAGCTAGGAAATACTTTCATTTAACTATTTTATTCACATGCCTTTATTTGACATGACTTTTTATTTTCGCTTAGTAGTTGCATTCTTCATGAAGCTAGATGACAAATCTCCTTCCAAGAGAAATTTCTCTCTCCAAGTCAACTTTCCACAGGACTAATCATTCTGATTGTCTTAAATTATGTCCTGTCCAAGTTTGCTCCAAAGCACTGTGGAGCTTCTATCTGTACCTTCTCCGTCTATGTAACAGGCTTCCTCAGGCACTACATATTTATACTGTTACCAAATGTTACTCCTAATTTGTTATTTGACTATTTCATAGTTTCAAAGCTTCAAAATGTTTCACATTTCAAAGGCAGAAAGCCCAGACTTGCGTTTTATTTGAATTCTGAACTTGGCTGTTAAAAACAATCTTTACACTTACAGACTCACAGTGAGGTTAATAAAATATTATTATGACACTATAAAGAAATTGCATTAATTGCTGTTAGTAAGAGTTACTGCAAGCAATTTTTAACACCGCAGTGAACAGCAATGCAAAGTTGCATTTCTGTTTAAAACTTTTAAGATTTATTCTCATTTGTATGTAAAGGTGATAAAGCACCTTAATACCTCACAACTGTAGTTTGAATCACAGCATTGGGTTTGTTTAGAACAATTTCGTATTTTAATATATTTAGGCCGAAATGTCAATGCAACTTTGCTTTTCCAACTCCTGTTTTTTCCAATTCAGAATATGTCTTGCTTGTATTAACAGCTGCCTAGATATTATTATGTTTTAATTTGCCATTTTAGTTTAGAAATCTTTGACCGCCTTAGTTTTTTCTGAAGTGATTTAATTTATTTTTTAAAATAAATTTTCTAAACAAATAATAGACTCTTCATATGTTAAAGGTAACAAAGTATTCCAGTTAGACTTTTGTCCTGGTTTGAGCCAGGATGAAGAAAATTTTCTTTCTACTGATTTTTTTTAAACTCAGTGAACTTTCTTTTAAGCAGCATACTTGCTGAAAGTATCAGCAAGTTTTCCAGCTAGTGGACCAATAATGGCAGAACATTTATTGATACGGCTGAGAAACCAAGGACATTTTGCTCTACTTGTTCAATCGGCTGCTTCGGACACTAAAGGAGCAGAAGAATCGTATCTACAACCCTCCTGTAGGGAGGAGCAGACTAGACAGATGGTAAATTGGCCAATGAGGTTATCCCACCTCAGTTTAACTCAGGATTGTCAATTAAATGAGTGACAACTTTTCAAAAGCATGGGACTGAGAAACTGCTAAATTCTTATCAGACTAACAAACAAAACAGGGTCATTTTAACCTGCATCTGTACCTCAAAACGAAGTTATACAAACTTCTTTTTTTTCTGCAATAAGCAAAAAAGCTTTGCAAAAGCTCATCTCTTGCAGTTAATGAACTCTTCCAGCTTAATTTTACAGCAAGGTCCCATTTTTTATCTGCTGATTCATACCACACAGCAGGTCAAAACTTCTTAGAGGGCAAGATAATATGAAAGAAAATGTGAGCCCCCTATTAGTACCAGAATTAAAAAAAATAAATTACAAATTGTTAATAGCATTCTTGATATAGCACTAAAAAGTCTCTTTAGAAGTATTTAGCCTAATACACATGGTATTACATAGTAATAATAATTTCTTATTTTATAAAATAAAATCCTCAGAACAGAACATCAGAAAAGGCATCTGTTAAACAGCCCTTTTTGTACCCGATTGCAATACTCAAACTTTGTGAATGCATTTACAGGAGACTTACACAAGATAGCTTCTACTTGCTCATTTAGAGGCCAGGACACACAGTCTGTCCTCGGGTTCTCAAAACACGAAAATTAACAGAGAAACAGAATTTTAACATGCTGTAGAACTGGAATTCTTCTGCAAAGTTAAGAAAATAGAGGAAGCACTTATTTTTTTGCCATAAAAAGCCAGGCTTGTGCTCTCAAATGCAATTTGCTATACAATTATGCAGCATAGATCTGTTAGTTTTTCTGCACACAACCTAATATGTAAAAAAAAACTTCTAAAACTTTGACTGTGCTAATATGTATAAAAACTGATCTTTTCCTTACAAATGTTAACATTTCACATAACTGCAGTGTCTGTACAGTTTAACAAAGATTACAATTTCCATATATCTATGCCTCCTAGCAATTACTAGAGTTCACATCAGAGGAAAGCTAGCTCACGAACACATAAAGCAAGCTTGAGGACTGATAAAAAAAATCGAAGTGAGAGGGGCATAACTCTGATGCTCTGCAACTGGTAACGATAAATCTCTTTTTGTCAAGCCAAAGATGCAGCTGCTAGTTACATAAGTCAAGCTCAGAAAAATTAGTTACAAAATCTTGTATCAAACCCAATGTACTCACTGGAACTGAAATAGAGTGGGACCTGCTATAGAGGTGAAGGAAGATCTGAGAAGACTAATTGGAGATAAAAAAAATACAGAAAATAAAATAAAACCCTGATTCTACAAAAGACACACAAATCTTTAAAAAACAAGCCTCAGGACAGTGATTTCTGAATACATCAAAGTAGAGCTCAAAAACCCAAAGTTTAGACATTTTACTTTGCAAGGCCCTTAAAGTTCAGACAGCAACAACTCCAATGGTTTCAGCCTCTGACACCCTTTAAAAACTGAATGCTTTTTCTCCTCAATTATGCTCAGGATATATAATACTTATATATCACACAATATATTCATTGTGTGATATGTATTCAGACAGCAAACCCATTAAAGAGAGATGCTTATTTAAATGTAAGAGACTTCTGTAGGCAACTATAGTTTGGTATGCTTAATATCTCTGAATTGCCCCTAGCAGTCCATTTGTTACTGATCACATCACAGAACACGTCCAACTTGAGGTGGATTGGTTTTCTTCTCAGGAAAAGCTTGTAACCGAAAACTTCATATA